TTTTATATTTACGGTTTACACCTTTTGTTGACCATTAAGTGGGTTAAGGAGACTTTAAGATGTAAGGTGCGTGCATCACCCACTATGGCTGTGACTTGGTGACACCAAAACACTATATTTACCCTTTGAGTAGAGTAAACTATTTGCCCACGGTGTCATTCCCGCTATATTTCTTTCTAGCAGAGAAAACAATTCATGAGAATTAGTCAAAATCTGTCCTGCGGCTTTCTTGACAGTAAGACGATGAAACCGATCACCGGCTGACTGTAACACTGAATTTTTAGATTTTTCAAGGTTACGAATAGTTGCATGGCGTAGGAGAGTCAACCTTTCAGGTGTGACAAGAACAGCACAGCATGGTTATTGGTCAGTACGAAGTGAACATTATTCTTAAAGAAATTCTTACTTAATTATTAATTAATGGAAACTGTCACCATGGCGATGGATAGTTGCCTAAATTCGTTAACGGCTCGAATCTGAATTGAGCTAGCTACACCGCTGCAAATATTATTTTCGCACATAGAGTATGCCTGCCATATTGTGCCTACAATGTTGATCACTGTCGCGCAATAAAATCAATAGAAAATGAATAGCGTAGCCCAGTAATGGTAGAAGTGTAAGGGCGTCATACTTTTAAAGGAGAAAAACTTTTCTTTGTTACCAGCGTAAGAAAGTCTCGGGAATGCAGACCCGCTCTGATGAAATCATTGCAAGATAATGTAAGTGAGTTATGCTCCTAAGTGCTCGTCTTAAACATGACAAACTCGACAATTGATCAGTGGCAAACGTTAATTGATCATCATACGTGAGAATCATGACCGTATAGATCTACCATGATCAGGTGAGTCATGGACGATGCAGCACTTCACAATATGACAATCTCCAGACAGTTTGACGCTAAAGTCGGTTTTTCTAATACACTCAGTCAAGACTAATTCCATAACGATGAGTCATTAGAATGAATATCTTGGAAATGCTAATGAAAAAATTACACACGTTTTCGTCGTCCAACACTGGCCCACCATGCAAC